TATATATATATATATATATATATATATATTTAGAGCTTTAATGGCCTAGATAATTAAAATTATTGATTGTAAAGAGCTGTTTCAAAGCCATTCCGGCCATCTCTATTATCATATGCAATGTTTTAAAGTTATCATAACATTATCAAAATCTGCAACAAATTAGACTATTAAGAATTTAGATTTTAGCAGGAGTTTTTGTCTTACAATTTTTATATTTTACCACACATCAATTTTAGCTGCCTCTTTTACATCATTTCCCTGTTTTTGTTAGTTCTCTTTGAAACGTCCGTCTGCACACTGGTTTCTTTGTGTCTGGGGTAACATCTAATGTCTTCTTGGGGTGAACATTAGTGTCGTCCTAGGGTGAATTCTCATGCCTACCCCTGGGGTGATATCTATTGTACTGAACTGTGAGCTGCTCTGAGGGGCACAGGATGTGCCGTTAAATGGGCAATCTGCAAATGGAAACTGTCATTTTTAGGCCATGCATTCTGCTTCTTCTTGTGCTTGTTTGCATGTGTTTGTTTCTTCTTAGACATCCTTGCCGTATGCCAAGTTGGTGTCACCACCAGTGGCCAGTTTGGATTCTGTGTTTGGTGCCAGCTCTGCCAGGTTACTTCTGCCATGCGGGAAATATGTGACGGTTGACGTGAATAAGCCAGGTGCTTATATAGGGTAGGTGGCAAGAGTTCGTTTTTTCCTACGCATAGTTTAAATGTACAGATCATATATAAATCAGATCTTTGAAAGCAAGCAAAATGCAAGTATATTCGCTACTTGAAACTGAAGCATGAAGTATTAACTTGAACAGCAGGCAGAAGCAAATGTAACTTAATGTAATGTAATTGATTTAATTTGGCAGTGAACTAACTAATAAAATATGCAGCATTACAAAAATTATATTTAATGTTAACTCTGCTACTGGTTTTGAATAGGTGACTTAAAGATCCAGCTGCACCCTATATAAACTCAACAAGCCAATCTGTTTTTACCTATCTGTTCATTATTACAATCATTGAAATCCACCAATAAACACTAATTCCAAATATTAAAATCTGACCAATGAACACTGTTGTTATAATCAATACCACAATCCCACCAATAAACTCTTGTTCTAAATATTGCAATCTGACTAATGAATACTGTTCAATACCACAATCCCACCAATGAATACTGTTAAATAAATGCTGCGATCCCACCAAGAATGATGTAATTATCAATTCTACAATCTCAAAATGAATACAATACAAAATGCATGCCTTATAAATGGTAAAATTAATTTATCTAAATTCCACAAAATTCTTGATTCCCCTCACAGTTATATCCAACTTGCCCAGGAGTGGGTTACATGGGTCAACTCTACTCCACATGAGAGGAGACAGTTTTATTCACAGCAACATGCACCTGGATTCCTGCAGATGTGAGTAACACTATCATCAGTGTTGTCAACTACCATTTTGTGTTTTATTCTAGCCATTAGAAAATATACACACTTCTATAAATGTACATAAAGTAACTATTTTGTTAAAGTAAGACTTATACTGTAATAACTGTACATTAGAGCTACTTAGCACAAGGCTGTGAGGGGAAAAATACAGTTGATGGCCCAATACCATTAAATTTTGCCATAAAGGGCACATTGCTGCAACTCTGCTGCCTCTCTACTGGGGTCTCTCAAACAGGATCCCGCATGATTTTTAATGAACAAAAGACTTCCTTGTAAAATTTTTCATCTGGGGGAAGTCCAGGGTAATTGAAATTTTACATTAAGAAATGGCGTCAGCGAGCCGTCAAGCTAGTACCAAGCTCTTTATGCCCCCCAAAGCGCACCCCCCCCAGCCCAAGTATTGGTTCGCAAAGCGGCACGTTGGGGATCTCCCTTCGTCAGGACAGCTCCCGCCAGCATCCACTCAATCGAGTACCAATGGAGGCCACCCTGGCCCAAGGACAGCCGGTCGGCTGGTGACCCTGCTCTTGCAGCATCGGTAGTCAACTTTCCCAGTAGTCAGGATGGTATATTTATGGTCGGTAGTCAACTTTCCCAGGAGTCAGGATGGTATATTTATGGTCGGTAGTCAACTTTCCCAGGAGTCAGGATGGTATATTTATGGTCAGTAGTCAACTTTCCCAGGAGTCAGAATAGTATATTTATGCCCTAAAATCTTCCCACCCGGGAAAAGCGTTGGATGCTCTCTAATGGGGCTTTCTAAAGTGGGTTTTTACTCCGCAACTAATTCATGAAGCAGCTGGGATGAAACGGTTGCCTAGGAACAGCTTCCTCAAATGCTGTTTAAATAGAATCATCGGCATGAGGTTGCCAGAGTGAACACTTTTAGAATACAATATCCTTACTTTTAAAAATTGTGACAGATTGTCACAAATTGTCGCTATAACTATAAGTGTTCCAGGACCTTTAAAATCTAGTTAACTGCGCTGAATTATTATTAAGATCAGTAGGTCTAGTATACAGGTTCATCAAGCATTTTTAAGTAACAACCAAATTTATATAGGATCAAAGCAACCCTTATGATTATGTATTGAAAAAAAGGCTTTTAAATAGGATAAATTCTTGGAAGTGAAAATATATTGAAACTACATTTTTCAATATTGTAATTAAAGACATACTTGATGCCATTATTGAAATTGTAAATCAAACTATTGAGTTACAATTTAAAAAGAAAACTTTAAAAATCAACATTTCTCTTAGTATATTGTTGCTGACTGTGACCCCTATTGAAATCCCTTTGCAACCCCATAGGAGGTCACGTCTCATGGGCTGGGAACCTGTGCTCTAGTAACTAATTATACATGCTGTTTATGAGATAAATTATTTTTAGATTATGTTGTGTATTTTTTACTTCCAAAATCAACTGAGTGAAACATTTACATAAATGGATCTATTTATTATCATTTCGAATTGTTTTTTATTCGAAACAACACCTTGTTACAAGTTCTTAGAAGCTTTGGCTTGGAAGTATTTATTGATGGATTTGAAACTAAAATGTGCAACCTGTAAAGAATGTAAAACTCATATAAAATGTAAAGGTTTTTCCACAGGGTTTGACTGGAGATCAAAAAATAAAAATATATGATTTTATTTCTTTTTAATTTATTCAGGGAAGCAGAACATGAATTAAAGAAGATTTTTTGCTTCAATTGTATCCTTTCATTGAAGTCAGTTGAATATTTTGTTATTGGTGCTGTAACGGTGATTGTTTAACTCTACTTTTTCCATTACTTATAATTCATATATAAATATATATAAATATATATAAATATATATA